CTTATAGTAAATTGTGCATATTGATCATTCTCAGTATTTCTTATTTCAAATGATGGGGAAAATTCCTCTTTATTATCGAACTAGTGCAATTTAAATTTAGTTTAACTACATAAATTTATTTATTAAAATTAATATAACACACATACTTGAACGTGATTTAGAAAACCTTCGGAAACAATAGGACACATTGGTGGAACTCTTAGAAATACGTTGAATAATACATCCCTTGCATTCATCAATCATATTCTCAACTAACTACTGGGGAATATAACCGTATCTAACCCAAATCTAATAAGAAGGTTGTTATTATTATTGTTATTTTTATTTTTAAAAAAACAAATATAAATTCATCTTTTTCTAGGTTTTTTCATGGTTGCCGTGCTCAGTTGCTTGGTGGGCAGCACAAATTAGTTCGTAAAAATTTTCGATATAAAGAATTGTGTCCTCAAGTTATTCTTATATTGTTTAAGCAGATGCTGTTTCTCTGTTGCACCAATATGATGAACCTTAAAATATTAACCGCCCAATATATGAACTTTGTATTGTAGGTCTGGATTTTTTGTACATTTTAACATTCATTATAATGACTTCAAGATTCGCTTGTTTTTCCTTTTGTAATGAGTTTCAGTTAAAGGTTTCACGAGTCATAATGTGAATCCATAAGAGTTGAAGAAAATATGTAATAAAAGCGTTAAAAAAAATAAAGCATGTGACAATAAAAGAATTGTTTTTATAAATATCAATGTAAAAATTATTAATAATTATTATTAATATTATCATTGATAAAATATGTAATTACCTTTGAAGATTAAAAAACAATAAAATAAAAAAATAAAATATGTAATTATTATTATCGTTATTAATAAATTAAATGATACATAATTATTATCAATAGTTTATTCGGTCTCATGATCCGCATAACGTGCCAATTCCGGCTCGACCTAAATTCCGGATCGACTTAAATTCCGGATTGACCTAAATTCCGTAACGACGCGGAACAGATATAGATAGTTGGCATTAAATAAAATTTACTGTTACACTAACTGCTAATCTAAATTTAGTAACACTAAAATTATAATATGCTAATGTATATGTTGTAAGTGGAAGCGGAATTAAGTGGAAACGGAATTTTTATATAAACCCAGCATTTTGGGTTGATTTTATCATATATACACCCTTACCCTAACCCTAATTTAACTTGGAAATTCCGAATCCACTTAATTCCATTCCCACTTACAACATATATACAAACTTTGACCATGAATAAAGCATGCATGTAAAATTAATGCATTCTATTTATTCGTATATTAATGGCTAATTTTTTATTATTACATATTATAATATATAATTATTATACTAACTATACAATTTTCTTATTGAAGTTTAAAACCTAAAGTAATAAACAAATTATAAGGCTCCAGTATTATAAAACGTCTCCGTAAATATTGTTAACCTAACCAATAATCGTATGATTGTATAGCAGTAATTGACGACTATACTATTTTTTTTTCATTTGTATAGTTTACGTTATCAGTTTAACTTCTTCCTTTTTCATCTCCTTTTTTTTTAAAAAAAATGAGACTATCATTAAAGTTCAAATCATAAAAATGGTGTAAACTAATGGAAAATTTTTTAGTCTAGTCGTCAATTACTTGACTATGCAATAAATAATTATTATTTCATTTCAATTTAGTCAGTGAACATAAAAGCTATTTAATTACTTAAGTATTATAGTTAAAATTACTGTAAATTCTTATAATAGCAGGCATAGGCGTTATTTTGAATTTGGCTCAAATTAAGCTTAATTTAGGCCAAATTTCGTAATATCACCACTGGGCGTTATTTCGAGAATTTATGGTATCAAATTTTTATTCTAAATTACTAAATAAAATGGCACTTGCATTTTATAAATTTAATCCGTTATTTCTAATCTAGCTTATTCATAAATTTACGTTCCTGGTTTTGCGCGACAGCATTGCACAGTTACCTTATTTTGGTATGCCTTAGTTTGGATTTTATTCTCGTTAAACGCTAAACTATTGGTGAAATGAGATCATCAGTTTAATTTATATTATATATAATGCGGTCGACGACGTTAAAGTCAAACTTTATTATATAGGTACCCATTTTTTACTTTAAACCTTTATTAAATACCTAACAATATTTATCAACTAATATCAGTACAATAATAGCAAAATAATAATGAAAGCTAATTACATCTTAATAAAGTTATTGATAACATTACAAATTTATTCAGTTTATGCACAACAGAATCATCCGTTAGCACAATTATGGAACATAAGTGATGCGGATGTACCCGAATGGTTGGAGTCTGAGAGACATTTGATTGGGATTGATGATATCTTAAGACCAATTCTAGAAGATGATTATTTTATTTCAAGCTTTGGTGGAACTTATATAGATATATTTGTAGAGCTAATATATGTCAATACAGTGGACTTTTCTAAAGTCGATGAATTATTAGCCTTGCCTCAAATAAAACCACATAAGAATTTTATATATTTTAGAGAAGCAAACAATTCCATGAGTCAATTGAAACACAATTTCGGCAAAATATCTTTTTTAGCTAGAATAAATGATGCGCAAAAACTTTATATTCTCACTGATATGGAATATAATAATATTGTTTTATATTTTTTCGATAGGCATATTGATAATTCAGAGTTTTTGAATGCTGTTGAACGCTTTAATCCGATTATACTCTATTTTGATGAACCACAAACTATAATAAGACCACGAAGTGGTGGTAATTCAGGTGGTTCAATAAAAAAGAGAATATTAGGTGGAGATGGGTTACAAAAACGTGATGGCCGTTATTGTTCTTCTGGTTTTTGGGCAAAAAATAAAGATGAACCTAATCGTTTATATATTATGACCTCAGGACATTGCTTTAATGAAGAAAATTTTCAAACCAATTTTCATTATTTACCATGGAATTCGGATCCTACGCAACCTAATTTAACATATATTGGATCAATGATATATAATTCTGGAGGTTTTTTCGATTTTGGTGTAATTGAATTTGATAATAAAGAGGAATTTTCCCCATCATTTGAAATAAGAAATACTGAGAATGATCAATATGCACAATTTACTATAAG